ACAACACCCTCTGCTTGCAGACAGGCCCAAGGGTCCAAGCAGACCCTACAGCTTGACAGAAGGGGCCCAAAGAGGAGTTTTTAGGGTTTAAAATGTAACAGAGGATGGTAATGTAATGATTCTTACAGGCTGTATGGAAATGCTATAGGACTTGTATATTGTACTAGATTGGTTAGTGAGAATCAGAATATTCAACACAGAAGAAGATTTATTGTATTGTAACGAGAACTTCACTCTCTTAGCTCTTGCCTCTTAGCTCTTACTTTTCTATGCTCTCACCCCTTTCACTCTCTTATGCTTTTGCTCTCTTGCCTCTTTTACTCTCTTACCCTTTCACCCTCTCTCCTCTCAGCCCTGCTCCAGCTGTGGCTGGCAGTTCCCAGCAGCTCTCTGCACCCAGGCCCTTTGCAATGAACCCCAAATTCCACAACCTGGCTGCTGCAGAGAGCCCAGAGGAGGCTCCAGGATGAGCAGAGGGATGGAGCAGCTCCGCCGGGAGGAAAGGTTAGGAGAATTTGGATTATCCAGCCTGAAGAAGAGAAAGCTCTGGGGTGGCCTCGTTGTGGCCTTTCACTGCTTGAAATAGCAGGAAAGATGAATGGAGAAAATTTCCAAGGGTCTGGAGTGCCAGGACACAGGGAATGGTTTCCCACTGCAGAGGGCAGGGATGGATGGAACATTGGGCAGGAATTCCTCCCTATGAGAGCGGTGAAGGCCTGGGATGGATTTCCCAGAGCAGCTGTGGCTGCCCTGGATCCCTGGCAGTGCCCAAGGCCAGGCTGGACCGGGCTTGGAGCATCCTGGGACAGTGGGAGGTGTCCCTGCCATGGCAGGGGTGAGACAGGATGAGCTTTAAGCTCCCTTCCCACTCAAACCCTCCCATGGCTCTATGAAAAGCCAAGATTTTCATGCAATCCCCTGGCTCCAAATGCCCAGGGTTTCACAGCAGAACACTGGGGACAGCTGGGGAATGGGAAAATCGATTTTCCCTCTGTTCTGCCTCTGAAACTCAGAGCAAATGCACCAAGGAACTTCTCAGCTTTAAAGATCTTCACTGGGGAGTTAAAGAGAGCCATGCTGGGAAATTCCCTTGTGCCATCAGATCTGAAGCTGAAGGTTCTTGCACTGAGGGTTGCCTGGAAATGTGGGATTTTCCTTTGGATTCCTGAGAAGTCTGGATAAAACTTGAAGCAGAAACTCCATTCTCTCCAGCAGATCCTTTGGCAGAGTGCCGGGAATAGAAGAGTTTTGGGATGTTTGGCTTCCCCCTGGAGCACCAGCACCCTCTGTGATGGTTTGTGGTCACTGTGGTCATTTTCTACACCTGGCCCTGCCTCCTCCTCTAGCCCTCCTGGCTCCTCAAGGAAAACACAGTTGGGAAATATTTCTCCATCTACAAATAGATCCATAAAAATGATTATGTAAAATAATGAGGTACCTGATCCCAGGCAGGTCATGGTATTGCAGGGCAGTGACTGCTGGAGGCTTACACAGGTTTGGGACTGGGAAGGTTTGGAAAGGTCAGGCCAAGAAATCCCAAGCAGAGAACTCAACACTGTGCCCCCCTGAGGTGACCCTGGGCTGGTCTCTGTCCTCCCTGTCCCACAGGTGTGACCAGGGGCTCAAGGGGTTTGTCCTGTGCTGGGATGTCCAAGGTACAGCTGGGTTTGGCTTCTCCAGGCCATGATTTTACTTCCATGTTCTCCAGTGGTTTCCCCATTTCCCCACACGATGCAGAAACCCCTCAGGCCCTGGGATCAAGGTCGGTGCTCCCAGGTTCTCCCAGATTCCCTGAGCTGGGATTTGGATGCCCCCAGGTCCCTACAACAGGTAAGGGATCAGTGGGTGGGTGTGCAATGCTCCACCCCAGAGCTGGAATGGGCAAGGGAGGGAATTCCTTGGGATTAACTGCAAATTGTGGCAGAAGTTGTGAGGAGCAGGACCAGGACGCAGCCCCAGGGCTCTGCTGAGACCCCTCAAATCCTGGGGTCCCCTTGGAGAGATCCTGAGGGGCTGGAGATTTTCCAGGGCTGGGAATGGAGCTGGGGAAGGGCTGGAGCACCTGGGAAGGGTCTGGAGAGCTCCTGAGGGATCTGGGAGGGCTGAGCCTGGAGAAGAGGAGGCTCAGGGGGGACCTGGTGGCTCTGCACAACTCCTGACAGGAGGGGACAGCCAGGGGAAGTGGCCTCAGGCTGTGCCAGGGGAGGTTTAGTTGGATATTGGGGAAATTTCCTCACTGGAAAGGGTTTTCCAGACCAGAGACAGCAGCTCAGGGCAGGGGTGGGGTCCCATCCCTGGGGGGGTTTCAAAGCTGTGGCACTTGGGGACATGGTCAGGGGTGGGGAAACGCTTGGGCTGGGTGGTCCCCGAGGCATTTTCCAACCTGGACAATTCCACGGTTCCAGGAGCATGGCAGCCAAGCAGCAAGGACAAGGAGGGGATGAGGGTGTGTGGAAAATGCTCTGGAGGTTCTGCAGCGCTGCAGAAGGGTCAGCCCAAAGCTGAGGCACCCCTGGGTGGGAGAAGGGGAAAACCTTGTGGTCTTGGGGGTGGGAGGACTTGGGAATGCCTCAAATCCTGGCTCTGACATCCAAGTGTGGCCAGTTCAGCGAGGGCTGGGGTCTGGCCATGGCAGCTCCAGGTTCCTGGTCCTGCCCTCCAATTCCAGCTCCCCCGGTGCCATCTAGAATGTTTGGGTGCTTTCCTGACAGGGCAAGTTTGGGAAGTGACCCAGCTCCACAGGGAAGGTGAATTTGTGCTCCCAGGAAGACTGGGGCTGCTTGAGCCCCCTGGCTGAGGGGTTTGGGCTCTGAGAGGTGACTTTATATCTGTTATTTACCATAAATGTGTCAGTGTTTTCCATAAATGTGTCAGTATTTCATCCCTGTGTTCGAATTCAGGAGCTAAAAAGGAATTTAAAGCACTTTGTTGGAAAGAGGAGAGCCATTATCAGACATTAAACCTCAGGTTCAGGCCCTGTGAGACTTAAACATTGTCAGGGTAAATAATAAATGAAATGCTTCAATCTGGAGAAGAGCTATTGAACGCACCAGCATTAATTTAAATAAATAACTGAATTCATCTGTGGCTTTTTCCACAGCAGAGCATGCCCAGGGTGACTTCTGGAAAAGTCTGCTGGGATTTTGCTGCACACAAACATGGATTAATTTTCCTTTAAAAAGCATCAAAACCCCCATATGATTTTTAAAAGTGAGCATTTGATAACAGAAATTCAAATTGACACTGGGATTGATTTAAAACATGATTTTATTGCCACTGCTGAGAACAGAGGGAATTTTTGAGAAGCCTCTTCTGAGCTAAAATTCAAATTCACCATCAAGGAGCAAAGGGAAGCAGAGCCCCTGTTTTGGGTGGATCAAACCAGGGCTGGAAGTGCTGCCTTGGCAAAGCCCTCTGTGGGTGTTTGCATGGATTGGCCGTGGGTAAACACCAGGTCTGGGTCAGATCAAAGCTGGGCTCCCTCCTCACCCCTGCAGCAACAGCCACTCCAACATCTGAGGAAGAGCACGGGAGGAAGGCAAGGATGGATCTGATGGGAGGAGGGGATGGTGCTGTGGAGCAGAGTGAAGAGCATCCTGTGCTGGGGGTGTCCTGTCTGAACAGGGGCAGGGAGATGATCCAGAATGATCCATAAATCACCTTATGATTGGAATTGGGCCCAGTCTCATTGAATATTCTCATCCCAGACTTTCCAGAGAAATCCTGGTGGGCCTGACACTGCTGGGATCCACTCTGGGAACTTGGGGCAGAGCAAGAAAAATGGGGTTAAATCAATGGCTGAAATGGGGTTAAATCAATGGCTGAAAGAGCAAAGTTCACCCAAAAACCAACCCAAATTCCTTGGCCAGGCTGAGGACCATGGCCAGGTCCTGAGAGAGCAGAGGGAAGGGGTGGGAGGGGTTTGGAGGGTCTGGAGTGATGCAGCCATGAGAAACGGATGTGAGAAGCAAATGATCGAGATGAGAGGGAATTCCTCCCTGTGACAGTGGGGAGGGCCTGGAATGGATTTCCCCATGGCTGCCCCATCCCTGGCAGTGCCCAAGGCCAGGTTGGACAGGGTTTGGAGCAGCCTGGGAGAGTGGGAGGTGTCCCTGCCCACGGCAGGGGTGGGACTGGGTGGGGTTTGAGGTCCCTTCCCATCCAACCCATTCCATGATTCTGATTCTTCACACCTGGAACAGGCTGGGTGTGAAATCTTCCCTTGGTATGTTCCAGGTGATCCGAGGGGAACAGGACCAGAGGAAAGAAGGGAAAACCAGGGAGAGAGAGGAAGGACAACCCTGGCCCAGCAACGAGGTGGGTCTGAGTTTGGGCTGTAAACTGGGTTTGTTGTTTCACAGGAGGGAGAATTTGCAAGTGCTCTCCAGTGGGGCCTGCAGGGACTCATGGCCATGCTCCCAGTCCCATCTTCCCAGGAAAGCTCCTGTGGGAGCACCTCTGTGTCCTGTGTCGGGTGGGAAATGGCACTTGGGTCCCTTTCACAGCAGAACCTGTCATGTGTGGCACTCATGGCTCAGAGTGAGCGCTCCTGCTCCTGCTCCTGCCCCTGTGTGTGAGCCCAGAGCCGAGCAGGGGCCCGGGACGGGAGCAGAGTGCAGCAGCAATGAGGCATCGGGTGGAACCTCCACACCCAGGGTAATGAACACTCTTCGGGCTCCTCAGAGCTCTCCGGGAGGGAACAGCCCCAGCCAAGCTCCGTGTCCTGCGAGGGGCACGAGGGACAGGGCATCCTGGGGACATCCCTTGTTCCTGCGGGGTTGGGATTGACTGGCTCTCCCCCAGATCAGAAACCCCCCGGGCATGGGGAGAGCTGGGACAGGAGGTGGTGGGACCAGCACAGCATCTCCTGGGAGAGGAGTCAGCTTCAGTGCCCCAGGAGAAACGAAAGGAGAGAGGGGACAGGGGAGATGCTCCTCTGGATGAGCACTAAAGCTGTGCCAGAGGTTTTCAGGTCCTCTCTCGGCCCAGGGAGGGTTTGGCTACACCTTCTCAGACATGCCCCTGGGCAGGCTCTGGGGCGAGTGCAGCTCCACGGACTGGCGCCGCCGGGCCTCGCGCTCGGCCCAGTCCTGCTCAGGCTCGCAGCCCTTGAGGATGGCCAGGCGCTCCGAGAGGGTTTTGGCCTGTGGGAACAGCACGAAGTTGTAGAGGATGGAGGCTGCTGCAGCCCCAATCAGGGGGCCCACCCAGAACACCTGGAGAGGAGAGGAGAGAAAATGGGGTGAGCAAAACCCAGCCTGGCTTTGGAGGGTGGGGAGGAGCTGGGATCTCTGAGGGGCATGCCAGGGGCTTGGGTTCCCTCCTGGGGACAAAACACGGAGTCAGCTCTGCTTTGGGCATCGCTGGGGATCTGAGCTCCCCTCCAGTGCTGGGATATTCCCAACTATCCTCTTCCACCATTCCCCCTCTTCCCAGACTCTGCATTAATGACAGGCCCATTGTGAACATGCTGAGGGATGTGGCATCATCTGGAGGAGCATTTTCCTGCCCACTCATGGATTGCTGTGGGAGGAGGAGCAGGAGAAGGAGGAGGCACCTGCCTGGGCCAGACACCTTGGTGACATCAGGAGCCACCACAGCTCTGCCTCCAGCCAGGCTCTTTGTAGATGAAAACAATAAAATCATGGAATCTCCTGAGCTGGAAAGGACCCACAAGGATCCTCAAAATGCTCTCTGGCCCTGCTCAGGACAACCACCACCAATCCCACCCCAGGCCTGAGAGCATTGCTGAAATGCTCCTGGAGCTCCAGCAGACTCAGAGCTACGGGCATTCCCTGGGGAGCCAGGGAGTGTTCCCAAAGGTGCACCTAGATCCAGGAACCAGGAAAGTTCCCCAGGACTGGCAACAGCTCCACTCTCCATCGGTTTTGTTCCCTGTGCCAAGTCATGTCAACAGACCTCACACCCTGAGCCTGTTGCAACGCTCCCAGTTTGAAGTTTGGAAAAGCCAATTAAGTACCCAGCAGCCGCACCTCCTTCTCCTAATCTCTCCATCTCTCCTCCAGCTGGGAGCTGGCATGGGAGTGCCTGGGATTTGCCTGGCTTGGTGAGTTTCGAGGAATACTGGCAGTGTGGGGGCCTTATCCACCCCAACCCAACCCAACCCCAGAGTTCTCACCCAGTGGTCGCTGAAGTCTCCCACGACGACGGCGGGGGCGAAGGACCTGGCGGGGTTCATGGAGCAGCCAGTGTAACGGATCTGCCGGGAACACCACGGCTGCTGTCAGCATCAAACCCTTCCACCTCACTTTAAAAACGCTGGGGTGTCATTAGGGTGACAGCTGAGCTGCTGCTACACCCGTCAGTGTTCCTATTCCAGGAAAAGGCATCCTGGGAGCTGCCAGCAGCTGAGTCAGCACTGTGAGGTGGCTGAGCTCACAATGTCCTGGGGTTGCTGTGCTGCAGCCCCGGGAGCTGCGGGGATGAGCTCCCAGACCTGCAGAAAATTCCCTCTCATGCCCCTGAGGACAGGAGGAACAGTCCCATGGACACAGGGGCTCGTGGGGCACTGAGGATGGAAGGTGTGATGTTGGGGAAGATGAAATAGGAAAGCCTTATAAATATGATTGTCTGGCAAAAGATTTTAAGAATATATAAACTATAAGTGAGATTGAAATGAAAGCAAGCTTTGAGATCCCTCAGTTACTGAACAACTGGAAAACAATGGTGTGGCTGGCTGAAGGTGATCCCCTTTTGATGAAGTAACACACTCTGCTTGCAGGCAGGTCTGAGGGTCAGAGCAGACCCTGCCAGCTTGGCAGAAGGGGTCCCAAAGAGGAGTTTTTAGGGTTTAAAATGTAGCACAGTATGGTAATGTAGTGATTCTTACAGGCTGTATGTAAATGCTATAGGATTTGTATCTTGTACTAGATTGGTTAGTGAGAATCAGAATATTCAACACAGAAGATTTATTGTATTGTAATGGGAACTTCGTTTTCTTAGTTCTTACCCCTCTTAGCTCTTGCCTCTTACCCTGTTTATTCTCTTACCCCTTTTACTCTCTTCTGCTTTTACTCTCTCACCCTCTCATCCTCTCTCTCCCTCTCTTCTCTCAGTCCTGCTCTGAGCTGTGCCTGGCAGCTCCCAGCAGGGCCCTGCACCCAGGCCCTTTGCAATAAACCCCAAATTCCAGATCTGGCTTCAGAGATCTCTCGTCTCTGTCCGTCCCGACCGTCCTACCCCACGATGCTCTTACAGCCTGGTGTGACCAACAGTGTTTTCCTGTGTGCACTGGGTGTGGGGGCTGCTTTGGGCCATCACCCAGGTGGGATTTCCCTGAGCATCCATCCCAAACACTTCCAGGCTCATCCTGCACTTGGGAGCTCCAGCAGCCAAAGCCATCGCTCCAGGAGAGATCCCACACAGATCCCTGGAACTCCCAATGGGACTCAAGGAGAGGCAGAGTCCAAGGGAAGTGTCTGTGGCCAGCTGGATCCTTCCTCTGGCTTCAGCCCCAAAACCAGGGGACATTTTTGGCACCAATATGAAAAAACCAAAAATTTCCCAGCTGGAAGAAGTGGCTCAATGGGAAATAGTTGAGGGACCTCAGGAAATTTCAACCCTAAAACTAAGGGAGGAAGATGAGTCCTGCCTCCATTCCTGCTCCTGGCAGGATGTGTTGGAGCAGCAGGGTCCAGCAGGTGCTGGGCTTGGAGTTTTTCATGCCAAATAAAGGCTGAGCTCAGGCCACAGCTCTCCCATGGCTCTGGTGGGATTTTTCCCTCTCTCTGCTGGAAAACCACAGGTTACATATCCTCCATCAAGCCAGGAGATGCAGCCAAACCAACTTGGGGCATAAACAAAAAAAGAACCCCAAAAGTGCCAGGTTTTGGCCCATCCACTCACCCCGAGGAGGTGCCCCACGGCCACAGAGAGGCCGATGGAGAGGGCAGGGGAGCCCAGGTTGTCCTCACGCCGCTCGTCCGTGGAAGCAAAGACGCACAGGACCAGCTGGAAGGTGAGGAACAGCTCCACCGTCACCGCCTGCCCCGTCGTGGTCTCATTGTGCAGCTGGAACGGGAGGAAAAACATGTTCCAAATCCAGGTTCTGTGAGTGGATGGGAAATATGGAGAAGGAATCCAAAATCAGGGGGAGACAAAGGAGACAGGGCAGATTTTTGGCACCAATAAGAAAAAACTTCCCAGGTAGAAGAAGTGGCTCAATGGGAAATGTTTGATTGACCTCTCAGGAAGTTTTATTGGCAATTTTTTGGTATTTCTTAATTTTTTTTCTTTTCCTTCTTCTCAAAATGCCTTTTGGAAAAGTTTACAAGTTGTATTTTGAAGACATTGAAAAGAAATATTTTGTCATGAAAAAAGAAAAAAAAATCCCTTTCCATACTTTTATGACTCAGAGAATTTGTCAGGTCTGATCTGGAGCTGATCCTCCAACTCAATCCCTTCTTTCCTTGTCCCCTCCCAAATCTAATCCCATTGCTTGGTGATCCCAGGAAGGTCCTAACTGCCCTCCTGCACGAGCTCCAGAGTCAGATCTTCCTCATTGTCCTCCCTAATATTCCCCTCCCTTTTTACAGGGGTGATCTGTGCAGGCAGCCACACCATGAACAGCTCACAGGGGAAAAAAGCCTTCTCAAAATCCCAAAATCCCCAGTTCCCACTTTAAGCTGTGAACCAACAAAGCTGAGCAGTCTGAGTGTCCCTTAAACCTCCTGCTTTTATTACCCTCAGTTATTACCAGCCTCAATCTCCTCATTCAGACCAAACCACAATCCCTCTTTTTAACCCTCTTAATCACTCTGGCAGTGCTGCTGAGTCCTGGCAGTGCCTCCCTGCTGTGGGAAAGGCAATTTCCATGTGCTGCCTCCCAAGCCAGCTCCCTGCTCCTCTCTCGCTCCCTTGGGATTGGGTGATGCTGATCCTGTGCCCCCCTGGGATGGGACAGGGAATCCCTGGCTTTCAGTTCCTTTCCCCCCTCCTATGGGGAAGGGGGTGTTGGACGCCAGGATACCACTGGAGACTCCCCCATGGGGATCCTGAGCTTCCCTGGCTTTATCTTTTCCCTGAGATCCTTGTGAAGCTTTAGGGAATGTGTGTGTTGGGTTTTGGGATGAACCAAATCTGTGTGTTGGGTTTTGGGATGAATCTGGTGTGACCATCCCATCACAGTGGGAGGCAATGAGCAGAATCTAATGAAAATCTGGGATTTAGAGCCAAATCTCTCCTGTCCCCACCACTTCAGCAGCCTGGGAATGGTGGCTTGGCCAAAGCATAGCCAAGGAAAGGTTGCCTGTACCCACACCAAAGGGGAAATTGGGATGAGCCTGGGACAAGAAGGATGCAGAGGGGGGATTTTGGATGTGTCCTTCCTTAAACCCCTGGGACCCCCAAATCCAAGTCCCTGAGTACAATCCTGGGAAAAATGAGATGGTTGTGACTCCAAAGGAGGTGCTGTGGCCAGCTGGATCCCTCCTCTGGCTTCAGTCCCAAAACCAGGGGACATTTTTGGCACCAATATGGCACCAAAAATTTCCCAGCTGGAAGGAGTGGCTCAATGGGAAATAGTTGATGGACCTCAGGAAATTTCAGCCCTAAAACCAGAGGAGGAAGATGAGTCCTGCCTTCATCATTCCGAGGACCTTGGAGCAGCAGGGTCCAGCAGGTCCTGGGCTGTGGCATTCAGAGGCTTTCTCACTGGGAATTCCGGGAATTTTGGGAGTTCTGGGATCCCTGGCAGGGGGTTTTGGGGAGCTGAGGGGGTTTTTAGGGATTTTTGGGTGGATTGGGGATGAAATTCCCATGAAATTCCCCTGGTTTTGGACCTCTCCCTGTTCTCTGATGAAAATCCCAGTGGGAATCTTGGGGTATCCTGCAAATTTTTGGGAATTCCAGGAATTCTGGGATCCTCAGCTGGAGATGTTGGGGCAGCTGAAGGGGGTTTTAGGGATTTTTGGGTGGATTTGGGATGGAATTCCCTTGATTTTGGGCCTCTCCTGGTTCTCTGAGGAAAATCCCAGTGAGAATTCTGGGATCCCCATCTGGAGGTTTTGGGGCAGCTGATGGAGTTTTTAGGGATTTTTTTGGGTGGATTTGGGATGAAATTCCCATGGAATTCCCCTGATTTTGGGCCTCTCCTGGTTCTCTGAGGAAAATCCCAGTGGGAATCTTGGGGAATTCTGGGACCCCTGCCAGGATGCTTTGGTGAGCTGAGGGAGTTTTTAGGGATTTTCTGGGTGGATTTGAGATGGAATTTCCCTGATTTTCAGCCTCTCCTGGTTCTCTGAGAAAAATCCCAATGGGAATCTTGGGGAATTTTGGGATCCCCATCTGGAGTTTTTGAGGAGCTGAGGGGGTTTTTAGGGATTTTTGGGTGGATTTGGGATAGAATTCCCCCAATTTTAGGCTCCCAGTCCTCTAAGGAAAATCCTAGTGGGAATTCTGGGATCTCCAGCTGGAGGTTTTGGGGCAGCTGATGGGGTTTTTAGGGATTTTTTTGGGTGGATTTGGAATGAAATTCCCATGGAATTCCCCTGATTTTGAGCCTCTCCTGGTTCTCTGAGGAAAATCCCAGTGGGAATTTTTGGGAGTTTTTGGGCCTCTCCTGATTCTCTGAGTAAAATCCCAGTGGGAATTCTGGGATTTCCATCTGAAGAGGTTTTGGGCCAGCTGAGGGCGTTTTTGGGGCCTGCCACCCCTCAGCTCCCAAATCCCCTGCCTGCTGTCCCGGGCCTGCCTCACCCGCCCTGTATACCCCGTCCTCACCTTGTTGAGGGCCAGGCCCTGGCGGGCGCTGGCCGGGGTCACCTCGTGCAGGATGGCGGCGCCCACGACGCCCCCCAGCAGCTGGGCCGCCACGTAGAAGATGGCGCGGAGCAGGGAGAGCTGCGAGCCCAGCAGGCAGCCCAGCGTCACGGCCGGGTTGATGTGGGCGCCGCTGACGTGGCCCAGGGCCTGCACCAGTGTGCCGATGGCCAGCCCGAAGGCCAGCGCGATCTGCAGCGTGCTCGGCGCCGGTGCCGAGGGCCAGTTCAGCGCCGAGCCCAGGCCGAAGAGCACGAAGACCAGAGTGGCCAGGAATTCCGCCAGGACGGCCCTGCTGAAGGCGATGGAGCGCAGTTCCCACATCATTGTGGCTCGCAGCAGTGATCCTGCCCGCAGTGCCCTCGGTGCCCACCTCCTGCCGTGTCCCTGAGGGTGACCTGGGCCACCATTTATATACCTGGAGGAGGGGGGGCTGCAGGATTAGCTGCTGGAGGGGATGGGATCACGGTCCCAGGAAATCTGATGCTTTTTTTCCTGCTGTGTTCCAGCTGAGGGAACATCAGATCCTGCCTCTTCTATCAGAGCCGGGGAATGCAGGGCTCGATGCCCTGAGGAGGTCATAGATCAGCCTCCAGCAGTGCTGGGATTGACTGCTCCCCTTCCCCATGGCTCCTTACCTGGGAAGGGTTGCTCCCCTTCTCCTGGGCTCCTTTTTGTGGGAAGGGCTGATCCATTCCCCTGAGCTCCTTACCTGGGAAAGACTGCTCCCCTTTTCCTGGGCTCCCCTACCTGGGAAGGACTGCTCCCCTTCTCCTGGGAAGGGCTGCTCCCCTTCCCCTGGGATCCCTTACCTGGGAAGGGCTGATCCATTCCCCTGAGCTCCTTACCTGGGATGGCCTGCTCCCCTTCTCCTGGGATCCCTTACCTGGGAAGGGCTGCTCCCCTTCTCCTGTTCCCCTTCCCCTGGGCTCCCCTTCCCCTGGGCTCCCCTACCTGGGACCTATCCCAGAGCTGTTCTTGCAGCTGGACCCTGGGAGCATGGAGAGGGCAGGAAGCGATGGGGTCTCTGTGGAGCTGGAGCTGAGGTTGGGTTGTGTTGAAAATCAGGCCATGGGCTGTGATTTAACAACCAGAAAATCCAGGAGCATGTAGGGATTCCTGGGGGTGTCCTGTGCAGGGCCAGAGTTGGAGTCAATGGTCCTTGAGGGTCTCTTCCAACCAAGATGTTCCATGATTCCATGAACAGTGAGTGCAGGGGAGGCACAAAAGGGATTCACTACAGCTCAGGTCCTCAGAGCACCAGAATTTTGCAGCCTAGGCACAGATCTCCTACCCAGAAATTTGGAAATCAATCCCAAAGCAAAGACTGTCAGAAATCCCCATGTGAAAATGTGACCCCAGAGCTGGAGCACCAACTGTGCCCTAATTATGGCCATTTTGGCCAACTCTGCTCTTCAGAAATGTCCTTTTAGTTCTTGGTGTCCAATCCCAGAGTGAGAATTTCTTCTCTGGGATTTGGTTCTTCCCATCTGCTCCTTGCCCAGAGAGTTTCTTTTCCCTTTTCTCTATTTCCCATTCCTGAGGGATGTCTGCAAAACCTTTTCCTCACCTTGTCACTGGGGTTGGTGGCTTTACTGGAAATTGAGGAGCTGGTTTTTCCTCTCCAGAGGCAACTCTGAGGTGGGATCATTTTATCCCAGAGGGATGCAGAGCAGCAGGACCAAGTGTCCATGTTGGGCTCAAACAAAGGCTCTTGCTCTACCATAAACTGAGTATTTTCCCTTCCAGAGGAACTGTACAAGTGCCATGGGACTGATGTTCCATGTTGATGGGATTATATCATGGGGTGATGGGGTCTCCCAGGCTGGAAGGGACCCACAGGGGTCTGTGAGGGTTCTTTTCTCCAAGACAGGTGGGGAACAGAGCTCCAGGTGGAGCAGAGGATGGATGTAGGTTCCTTCCAATGGAACTGTTCTTCTCATCTTCCCTCTTCTTGTTTTCCTTCCTTCCTCCTCCTCTTTCCCCTTCCCCTTTTCTTTCTCCTTCTCCCTTCTTTTTTCCCTTCCCCCTTCTTTTCCCCCTTCCTCCTTCCCCTTTTCCCTTCTCTTTCCCCCTCCTCTCTCCTCTCCCTCTCCCTTTTCTTCCCTCTAAGAAAAGGTTTTTTGGGAACATCACTTTTAACAAAGTGAGGGACTGCGGGAAAAACAAGTCCAGCCTATGGCTGAGTCTGAACAAGGTGGGACTGTGCTCCAATAAAACCTTTTCCTCTGAAAATCCTCCCCTCGGACTGTGTCCCTCCCCAGCATCTCTCCAGCCAGAGCTTTTCCATCAGTGGAGTCAGTCTCGTAAAACAGGTTTGGAGGCTAAAGGGATTTGGGTGCTGCTGAGCCTCAGGATCATGGTCCCGGCCAGGCTCGTGCTCCACATGCCTGGCACAGGGCTCAGCCCTACTCAGGGCAGGAGTTACTCAGGGCTGAAATTACTGCAGGGAGGATGGAGAGCAAATCCAGGTAATTACTGGAGCTCATACCCTGCCTGATTAGTGGTTACTCGTGGGGAGCGTGGGGATGTCTCAGTGATCAGGACTAATTAAAAGGAAGGACAAGTCAGCAGGATTAGTTCTGAGCCACTTAGAAGTCCAACCCCATGGTCCTGACTTTTGTCTGGAGATGCAAAACTCATTGCATCTCATTTGTACTGAGCTTAGAGATGCTGGTGCTGAAATTGGAGATGTTTGTTTTGAGCTTGGAGCAGTCTGTGCCATGGCTGGAGGGTTCCTGTGCTGCTGGACTGTGGGGAAAGGGTCAGAGCTGCATTTTGAGACCGGCTGTCGTGGTGTCCATGGCATTTGCTGGGAGATGTTGGTTTCCAGCAAGAACAGCCCATCCCAGCTTTGCCCAGAGACCCCCAGCACTGTAATTCCACTGGTTTCACAGAGGAATCCATCCACGGCACAAAACCAGACCCTGGTGACTCCAGACACTGAGTCAGTGGCAGAGCCAAGATTTTCTGGTAGTGCCATGGTTGGGCACTGCCCTGGAAAAATGGGAGATGCCACAAGCTGAAGGGTTGGGAATGGGCTGTTGAATATGTGCCTGTGTCTAGAAGGGGGTCCTGGAGCTGCTGGAGATGGTGGAAATGTGCCTTTCCACCTCACCCCAGGTGTGCTGCTGCTTTGGGAGCAGCCAGCAGCATTCCAGCCCTGCAGGGAATCCAACAAGTTTGGGAAAGTGCATTATTTTACCTGCCAACCCCAGCCCTTGGAGTGTGACGGTGTCATCAGCCCTCCCTGGGACCAAGTGCAAATTTAATGATCTCAAGGAGCAGGTTGGAATCTGCAGGAAGTTGGAATCCCTGTGGGTGCCTCATGCTGGTGCTCTGTGCTGGTGCCTCATGCTGGTGCCCTGTGTTGGAGCCCCATGTTGATGTCTCATATTTGGAGCCCCATGTTTGGAACACCGTGTTGGTGCCCTATGCTGGTGCCTCATGTTTGAGCCCTGTGTTGGTGCCTCATCTTCATGTCCTGTATTTGGAACCCCATTTTGGTGCCCTGTGTTGGAACCCCATGTTTGGAAACCTGTATTTGTGCCCCTTGTTGGTGCCCATGTTTGGAACTCTGTGTTGGTGCTCATGTGGGTGCTCCAGGTTTGAGTCCTGTGTTGGAGCTCTGTGTTAGAGCCCTGTGTTTGAAGCCCCATGTTTGGAACCCCGTGTTAGTGCCCGTGTTCCAGCCCATGGATTCCCTGTGTTCATGTCCCATCTTGGAACTCCATGCTGGAACCTCATGTTTGGAACCCCTTGATGATGCCCTGTGTTGGTGCCAATGTTTGGAACTCCATCTTTGTAACAGCGTGTTGGTGCCCTGTGTTTGTACCAATGTTTGGAACCCTGTATTTGTGTCCCCTGTTGGTGCCCATGTTGGAACCCTGTGCTGGGGCCCAGTGTTTGGAGCCCTGTGTTGGTGCCCATGTTTTGAACTCTATCTTTGTAACAGTGTGTTGGTGCCCTGTGTTTGACCCCCATGTTGATGCCTGTGTTGGTGCCTCGTGTTTGGAGCCCCATGTTGGTGTCTCACGTTGGAACCCTGTGTTTGGAACCCCGTGTGGGTTCCCTGTATTTGGAACCCATCTTGGTTGCCCAGTGTTGGAACCCCGTGTTGGCGTCCCATGTTGCAGTGCTGGAACCTGGTGTTTGGAGCCCTGTATTGGTGTCCTGTGTGGGTTCCCTGTGTTTGGAATCTCCTGTTGGTGCCTGTGTTTGGAACCCCATGTTTGGAGCCCGGTATGAGTTCTCTGTGTTTGGAACCCCATATTGGTGTCTGTGTTTGGAGCCCTGTGTTTGGAGCCCTGTGTGGGTTCCCTGTGTTTGTTATCTGGTGGTGTCCATGTTTGAACCCTGTGTTAGTGTCCGTGTTCAGAACTCCCTGTTTGAGCCCCGTGCTGGTCTCTGTGTTTGGAACCCCCTGTTTGGAACCCCATGTTTAGACCCCTGTGTTTGGAACCCCCTGTGTAAGCCGCACTTGGTGTTTGTGTTTGGAACCCCATGTTTGGAACCCTCTGTTTGGAACTCCCTGTTTGAGCCCTGTGCTGGTGTTTGTGTTTGGAACCCCCTGTTTGGAACCTTGTGTTTAGAACCCCCTGTTTGAGCCCTGTGTTGGTTCCTGTGTTGATGTCCTGTGGGTTTTCTGTGTTTGGAACCCCCTGTTTGGAACCCTGTATTGGGAACCCTGGTTTTGATCCCTGTGTCTGAGCCCCGTGCTGGTGCAACAGGAAAGATGCCGCTGCCGCGTTTCGAAGAACGTCTTGAAGGTGCCGTATTTTGAAGAACGTTTTGCAAGGCAGGGAATGGTTCTTGCACAACCAGGAGCTCCTCCAGTGCTTTAGATGGCCCTGATATCTCTGCTCCCCTGGCTTACAGGAAAGTATAAACATCCCGAGGTATCTCCATTCCATCTGAAATACCTCGGAGCCACAAAAACACTTATTGCATAAACAACGTGCAGTTTTCCTGCTTGGATCCGACCTGTCACAGGAGTCCCATGTGCTGCCCAGACCCTGCTGGAATTCCCATTTTCTGCTCTTTTCTGGGAGCAGGGAGCACCTGCAGGCAATTCCCACTCCTCTAAAACAGCCTAAGGGACAACCTGAACTGCTGCTTCCCAAGGCAGCCAAAGCCCTTTTCATTGGACAGCAGAGAATCCACCACTGGAATAAGGCTCAGGAGAAAATTTTGTAAAAACTTGAATGTTTTTGGTTCTGCTGTTCCTTGAAATGCAAGATTTCTGTCCCACAAAGCAGGGGGAGAACTGAAATGTGTAAAGCTGGAATAGGTGAAACTGGAGTGAGTAAAACTGGAATGGGTCAAAC